ATAAATAAGCACAAAAGTATTGTAAAATATTGTCAATGCACTAAAGAAATCAATTTGTTTTCAAACAACATCTGGTTACTTCAGTAGTATCAAAGTACATTTATAATTACATGTTACCTAAAAAAATCAAGTACAAAAATTAAGAGACATTAAAACATCAGTGTTTATATTATTATGTATATATAAATGGCTAAGTAACACACAAGTAGAGAAATCTGTTATCTAATGCTTATTTGCACATTTTTTCAGGCACATACCTGACATTTCTAATGAGTTATGAAAAATGTGATATGACATTCAGATTCTTAGATATGGTAAACATGTTATATTGGAATGGATGTTAAATGGTTTTCTTTAAAAACCCTGTCTTTAAAAAATGTAGTGCCATTAGCCACTAAAAAACATATTTTTATACCATTGTTCATAGTTATTTGTTTCAACTGTTTGAAAAGAGCAATAAAGTAAACATACAATTGCTAAATACGTAAACACGTCTTCAGTGCAAGATAACAAGACCTGTGACTTTACTGTGCTTTTTTTTTTTTTTAATAATCACAGTGCACTTTACACAAATTGCTACGCTATAAATGTTAAGGAGTTCCAAACAAAAGAAGTGCATTACTAAACATTTCCATATATATTATTTATATACAGTATGTATTCTCTATGGAGGTGTACATGTGTAAGTATAGATGCTTTTAGGGTGGGCAAACCCAGTTGTATTTGGGAACAACTAAATCCTTTGAAGGATTTTCACATGTTTGGTTGTGATTAATGCAAAGATTCTTTAAAGGTGTTTCCCCTTAAATTTGAAACTTTACAAGATTTAAAGAGAAATATAATCAATCATTTTTTCCAAACTATATATATATATTTTGCTACAGCGAAATTGACCCAAATATCAAAGGGTTTTAAATCATCCTAACCCCAAGCCGTAATGTTCAAGTCTAACATGGCAAAATGTGTTATCCTTTCATTGATTTACATAGACAGTAGTATATATTGCACGTGTACATACAGAGGCTTACACATAAACATGTTTTATACTTAGACATTAAATTTAGTATGTTTTAGTATTTTGACTGTACACTTGAGCTGAAGAAAATGAGAATGCTATATAAACACATAAAAGCTGTTAAACATATGAAATTGTGTATCTTCTAAAAACTGGCTTTATTTTGAAAACATTAGTGATTGCATAATTTACCTCCTTGAAGGCAAGGATCACATCTTTTTCCATGTTTAATTCCAAGTGCTTGAGAAACTTTTTAAAAAATGATTAATAAGTTGCTCAATAATGAACAGCTAAAGAAATAATGGGTTAATAGCAAATTGTCCATATTTTTCAATTAACTCTCTATTCTCCCATAGAAGGAAGATGTAGTGAGATCATGTCAACACTACAGGTACAGTTTTTCTTTTATTTCCACTTAAGTTCATGACACAATGCATTGTGATGCTAGTCTACCTATACTCTACTGCAAGTATGAGTTACCCTTCATCTCAGAATCGCATACTATTTAAATCATTTCTTGATTTCTCATATAAGCATAGTCATTTTACAAACTCTACTGACTTGCTGTACCATGTAGGTGATATGAACTTGTAATTTGTACACACATTGTTCTGGTGTCTCAGTTAGTTAGAACAATAACCTAGTAAGGTCATTTAGGTTTGATTGATTTGATTACTAAACAACTCAGTCAAAAAAATCAAACCAAATTCTTTATGTCAAGAAGACCCACACCTATGTCAAAATCGAGTAAGAAAAAACAATTTCTGTTTCTAGAAGCAATCAAAAAAATCGTTCACTATTTTGAAACAGAGTCACTATTTTCAAAAGTGAAGTTGTGTCTAATTGTATTCAATCACTGTGCATTTGAAAGCATGTATATACATATATAACAAAGAGGGATTTTAGTCTCTTGGTGTTGTGTTCTACTCTGTCAATTATTTAATATGGGTGAACATGAACCTTTATTAATGCAAGTCCATCACTTTTCACTCAAAATTTGCTTCATTAGCACAACTGAGGGGAAAATGTTGGCAGTGTCTTCGTGAGGGACCACTGTAATACCACAGGTGACTTAGGCTTCTCTGACTGGGAAAAAACGCAGTATTTCATTTTTCCCTTCCATCATTTTTAAAGAAATTTGTTTCTTCTCTGCTAAGAAGTATTTCACAAATAAAAGCATCTTGCTGACAGCCAATAAAATTCTATTTCTATAGAATTTGCTGTTTAAAAAGATCGTTTTTCATAGATCTGAGCTCTTTCAACCTGATAACTGGGCCATGATATGATTTGTTCTTTGGCACTGCTGAAAGTATGAGCTTTATCATGGCATAGTGTACTGCCTGCAGGTTATCTTCTGACCAGATTCACACACGGAGGTGTCCTGATTTAGTACTGCCAGAGAGTCAGCTTACCTTTCTCTCTATGCTAATGGCCCCCATTTCTTCATATAGAGAAATACCATGCACTGAGGAAATTGATTAGAGAATGGCTCTTGCCACCATGGGCAACTCTATATTGTATAGGCACAGAGTAACAGTTCTGGATTTAAATCTAAGTGAGGTCACTTTTCCAGATATTTCAGTTACTTCCCATGTAGGGAAACATCTAGAGAAATAAATGGAAGTGTTTCTCTAAGGTCAAACTTTCAAACCTCCTCAGAAAAGAACTTTTGAAAGAGAAGTGCATGAAATCTTGCCATAGCATATGTTGGATGGAACAAATGGGAAGGGCTGAGTTCAACATGAATCAATCTTGACAAGTATATGCTTCTTGAAAAGGGCCTGGCATTTAAAAATATTTTCTGCCTAATTCAGAGAGATATGAGCAAAATCAGCATCTGAGAAATACACCTGTATCTCCTAATAGGAAGGTGTTACCTAAATATAAATTTTGAAGGAAGAATAATCTTTAACTTACTAAGCCTAAATATATAGATCATAAAGAAACTAAAAATTGATGTCTTATATTTGACTGATTGGGTTGTATATGTGTAGTCATGATCATTTAAATGAAGATAACATAAACACATTGTATCCAATTATTATTTTATCTTACACATTTTCATTATTCATAAATTTGTGATCCATTGATTATTGGGTTTGAAATACAATCTACACCTGATGAAACATGGAAGCAGGATTCATTTAAGCTACTTATGACCTTTCTGAGATATCCTGTATTTGTGATTCTGCTTTTTTCAACACCTCACTTATACAAGCAAAACCTAAATCTTCAGTAAGAATTTTATGTATACAATTCTTTTGCACGCATGTGCGCGCACACACACACACACACACACAAATACACACTTGCTCCCACTTACCTTTTCCTTTATTCTTTCAGAATTCTAATTGGACATCAAAATATACATTAATTATAAAACTCTAAAAAATTATGTTATAGCATTTCAAAGGCTCTTGAAAGAAACTATTACCAATAAAGCATTACTAAGTTTCTGTCAATATAGATTACAAAAATTCCCCAACTCCTGTTATATTTGGTTTTATTGAGCAGCATGGTACTATTGCTGTCAATACCCTTACATGGAAAACTACTGTGACAATAACTTCAAACACACACTTTTTCTCTCAGAAATATAATACTAAATTGATTGTTAACGAAGAACCACATACTGTCAATTTTAGGAAGCATAAATAGTAATTTAAATATACAAAATATATGTGATAATTTCCTTTTTTATTTATCCGTGGCAACATTTATATTCAACTAACAAATTACCTTTAAAAGATATATATGATTTTTTTAAAAAAAACTTAAATTTCATCACCACATAAAATTGAATCCACCTTATCCTCTATCCCCTGCATTTCCTGTTTCTTCCTTGAAGCAAAATAAAGAAGTGATCATCACTCTTTGGTCATGGAGTCATAATTGGTCAGAATGGGTGCGATGGTCATGTACGGATTATGACCCCAAAATTGGATAATTAGTTAAAAAAAAAGCAAGAAATACTTTTTCATTAATGGGATTAAAATTTGAGAAAGATTGGCATTTAGTGTACGTAGATATGTAAACTAGTCTAGTTGAATGTTTGTTTCTTTTTCTAAAGGAAACAATCATGCACATGAAAGGTTACTGATGGCGTGACCACAATGTCAGTGGCCTCATGTGTTCCACAGCAGTCACCCTCACCAGCATCTGACTCCTTATTCCTTCCATTGTCACAGTGAACCCTGGTCTCCTCCAATCAGATCCATGATGCAAGGACACATGTCCCTAAAGTCATTTGTGAAGGAAATGTTTCCTGCTGGGATGTCCAAATATATCCTAAGAACTTTCTCTGGAGTCTAACCATTTTTTTTTTTTTTTTTTTACTGTAAAGAAGAGGATATTGAAGAGAAATTCTCATGAAAGAAAAAGATTGGTGTCAATGTAATGTGGATGTCTAAATTAACATCACATTTGCATTCATTTCCTGTCAAACCTTGAGAAACTTAAAAAGCAGCAGATGCTCTTCACAAATATGATATTCAATTTTTACATTACTAGCACCAGATCCTATATTATGTGGCTGGATATGATGTGTAGCTGTGAGTTACTGTACACAAGCCAAATGTGGGCAGGAGAGAAAAAAAAAAAACATTTTAAATGCAAAAATTAATAGTAAAAGGCATCAAGGGGTTACATATAAAAGAGATAACAAACCAGTTAATACCGAAATTATATCATATAGTAAACTTGATATTTCTGTATTTATATATATATATGTATAGTGTGTATTATTTCAGGTGTCACCCATAAATTAGTAAAATATTTACAATTTAATATCTTCTGGATTCAAAATAATCCGGGATAAATAATGTGCCTTAATTGCAAAGACATATACATTTTATCTTGTATGTGCCACAAGTAAGCACAGCTTCCTGTGGCATTCCACTCCAACAGAGAAGATATGTTTCACGTGACCGAGTTGACCTCCCTCTGGGTAGTAAGTAACCAGGAGCTGCCGCCATCCTCCCCACGCTCAGATGGCAGTGTCCCAGAATACCGTTTGCTGTTTAGAATATGGTGGAGGGCTGCACTTCTTTGCACCTGTGCTCTTCTTCCAGCTGGGTAGGATAGGCATGCTATCCTGTTTGCAAAGGCCCTTTTCCGTTTTCTGTCTAGCCTTTATTTCCTTGCACAAGCAACGCTTTTTCTCAATCATCTCAAGCATTGTATGGTCTCCATGAAACCACTGCATGCAAGCCACCTAGCAGAAAAGAAAGAGTGAATACTGAAGAAAACATGGAATGGAAGCATATTTTGCACTGTTAGTTGTCATTTAGAAAAATGTCAACTGTTTCTACACCTCCTTTAAAAACTCTCAGAATGAATGGAAAATACATTAATTCTTACAAAGCAAAATGAAGCCATGGAAACCATTAAAAATCTTTGTTTTGAAATTGGTAAAATCATGATATTATTTAATAATTATTCAGGCATACATATTTTTCCAATATGGAAATAAAACTTTTAAAAAATGTTTATCTTTTTAAACAATTTGCTAGATCTTTGCCTTTTACTTTCACATTAGCTCCATTGTGTTATTGGTTGTAATAAATCTAAATTCAATTGTTGGAATTATTTTTCATTGAGATTTAACATAAATGTGATATGTTGCAAAGATGTTAATGAACATTTTCATTCTTAAAATGAATTTTAAAACCTTAGAATTGTTTATAAATAGCATGTAGTACAATAAATATTTTAAATATTTCTTCCTCCTGAAATGACTTTCAGTGTGCACCTTATGTTTGGAATATAAATGCTTCAATAATTCGTCTGTAAAGAAGTTTTTGATACTTCAGAGAATGTTGCGTTAGAATCATTGATCTCTACATGAACATAGATCCTGATTAGTTCCAGAAACAGGAAAAGATTCATCAGGTCAATTGGGTTAGTGGGAGAAATTTCAGGGTGGATTATGCTTTGGTATGTACACATGTATTACTAGACAGGTAAACACTAATCCCAGGTATGAGTGGTATAATGTGTGTTAGTAACTTTCATTGGAATAGATTCTGTCCCAAGCAAAAGGCAGTGAGACTGGCCCATGAGCCCAGCTAGGATGGAGAGCTTGAATTTAATTGTTTAAGCAAATCTACTTCTTATGATTTGCAGAGTAAAAGTAGTTCACTTGAAGTTACTGAACTTGATGTTACAGAAAAGCAAATACCTAATATTTAACCTATATCAGATCTCATTCTAAGTACTTTGCATGGGTTATTTCATTTATTCCTCACAAGAAAGATACTCTGAAATAAATATTGATGATAAAATGACACTTATATTTTGGAATTTTACCCAAAGTAATAGAGCCAATGATTGGAAGTCAGGATTTGAACAAAAGAGTTCATTTCTAGCACCTGTTCCTTTAACTACACCACGCGGCCTTTCAATGTGTACAGGTAATGGACAGGACTGGGAAGATAAACTGGTACAATGTCTTTAATGCATGAATGAGGAAGCTAAGACTTCAAGAAGTTGCCTATCTTGTCCAAAGTCAGGCAGGGGTTATTTGGTTTGAACAAAACTCATAGAATTATCACCAATCCTAAACCTTTAGGGAGAGGGTAGGACCTAAAGCCAGAAAATAGAGATTCAAATTCTGGACGTGCCAAACTTCTATTATTCACTCAGCTTCTGGATTCTTTAACTGAACAACTTAGTTGGCAATACCTCGCTTTCAGAAGCTGGTTTGAGGTTTAAAGTGATAATGAAGTCCATCTCACTTAAAAATAGTTCAGAATTTGCCTACATTTTCTTATTCTATTACTGGCAAAAGCCTGGTAGCTTGACATGTCTGTCTGCCCTCTCTGCAAAGAACTCTATGTGGTGTTATCTCCTCCACACTTCATTGAAAGCTAGGATTTATCTATGCACCACAATTACAAAGCTGAGTGTCAGAAGTTTAAGGAACTAGGTCAATGTCACAGTTATTAAGTTACACCCAGCTGTCTGACTCCAAGGTTGATATTCTTTCTAGTACAGCATGCTCCATCTCTTGAAAATTATTTAAAAATTATGATAGTTATTATGGTCTATATTGCCATTTCCAGGTGGTATTTATAGTTTTATTGTGAATAAAGTGCTGATCTGAGTCAAGGAACCAAAAGATGATATTCTTAAATAAATATGTTATAATGTGCTTAACTTGATACAAAATGCCTTAGAAGGATGGGCCATGTATATGCCTTTAAATGTCCTCTGGTCCCTAGCTTAAGACCTTGGCCATGGACATTCATATTTACATAAAATGATAGGTGTTTGTTGAGTTAATATAATGAACTGTTTTGTGTTCCAACAGGAGATTGACAAAGCAGCTCAAAGATTATTTGAAAGACCTGTGATGTTTTCTAATATCATGACCCATGGAATAAAAATACAGTAACTCTCTTTAGGTCGAAATATAAGAAAAATTTATTGAATGACTATAAACTGTCATAATGGAATTTATAACAAAGAATTCCCAAAGGCAAGACCTTAATCTCGTCCATTTTAGAAGTTCAACATGCATAACAAAGTTCTAACCCCTCATAAAATTATTAATTGGAAAAAAAAACTACCATCATTGAACAATTTTTTTGCCTATCAAAAAAATTCTCCCAATAATCTTATTCTTAATAAAGTCTTGTGTTTTTCACATTTCAACATAATTGGAAAATCTCCAAATTTCTTTCAGGCAAATATTCCTTACAGCGTCCCCCCCCCCCCATTTGTATTTTATTTATTTTTTCACACAAACATTACATTATGTATTACTTAATTTTCTTTAATATTTTTGTGGTGTGAGTCAGGATGGGTGACTACAAACTAATTTTCCAGGGCTGCTTTGACAACTGTGTCAACAATATATTTCACAGTTATTAGAATAAATTTAATTGTATTATGTATAATAAATTCATGTTTTGTCAATTAGAAATTTGTTATATAGATGTTTAAATTTATGTAGAGAAATAAAACATTTTAATATCTAAGGACTAGAAGTGTCAGAATAAAAAAAACATAAAAATGTGATTTTTCATATTTTTTACACTTTTCTTTTCTTTAAAATACTCAAATGTCCACTCAAGTGGTAGAATGGTCTAAAACATTAATGAAAAAAATTATTTTCCTTCAGACTTACTCCATATTGTTTAACCCTCCTCTTTTGGTGACCACATAAAACATTAATGAGAAAGCATTGCCCAAAACTGAAATTTCATGAGAAAGTACTGCCCAATACTTGAAAGAGGGTTAGGTGGTAGGAACAAAATTCAAACAGATTACTAGAAGATTACCAATGCAAAATATAAATATTCTTTTAAATTCTCCGTATTAAATTCTAATGTTACTGCTATGGCCATTAACAGGATCAAATCCCCCTAAAATGTGTCTAAGTATATTTTGCTGTGACTGTAAGATGTTACACTGTCATTCATTATTTTGGACATAAAATATCTTTAACAATTATATAAAATGTGTTACAAATGCTACCCATACAAGATTTCATCACTCTTCTGTGTTTTTTTCTTTTATCACAAAATTCTTTATATCTTATTGAAATACAGCTGTAAATTCCTATCCCATCTCTTTCTACAGTTGAAAAAAATTTAATAACAGACCATTACAACTAATTTGAAACTAAAGCCATTAAAAAACTCTTTTAGTTAGTTATCTAAGTGGTTATGTTTTTATCTTTAATCCAAATGCATTTGTTTTATATACCTTGAAATATGAAAACTGTACACAGGGGAGGGTAAATACACACTGGGAAATTATTATAAGACGACTGTTCAATTATGAATACATATCTCCTAGATGAGAGTTTTATATTAGTGTAATTCAGCAGAGATAATATTCTTAAATAAGTTAATGAAAATAAAATCTAGTGAAGTTCCCTGCCAAGGAGGCAAAACCAAAATCTCCACCAGCTGCATGATCTACACAACACTTTCATTCTAAAGAGTACAGAACAGAAAAGGGGAGAGGAGTAACCCTACAGTGGGAAACCCTGGTCCTGTGGCCGACACGCATCGCCTTCCAGAAGTTCACATGCTGCAATTCTCACTTCTGTGGTGATGGTACTAAGAGCTGAGACCATCGGAAGTCCCAAGGAAGCTCTTTTCTACCTTCCGTGTTTGAGTACAACAAGTTAAAGCCTGCATCCTGCCAGAGGGCCCTCAAATACAGCCATGGTAGCACTCTGATTTTGAACTTCTCAGAACTGTGATTAATAACTTTTTATTATTTATAAACTACCCAGTTTGTAGCATTTTGTTACAGTAGCCCAGACAGGCAAAGCAATTGTTCACCATCAACAGATGAACAATGATAAGTCATATTGATATTATGTATGTTAGTTACAATGATAGTCCTTTACTTTTCCTGTCTTTCCCCCCACCAACCCCTAACTACACTCTAATTAATAGAAAAAGTACTAGACAAACTCAAAATAGGGGACATTCTACAAAAATACCAGACCAATACAGCTTGATGCTGTCAAAGTCATCCAAAGAAGTAAAGTCTGAGAAACTATCAAAACCTAGGGGTTATAAAGAGAAAACCCATGACTAAAAGCAATATATCTGCTGTACTAGAAAGTACTGAGGAACAGTAAAAACTACATTAGATAAAAAATAGGGAAATTAGAGTGATGTGTACTGTACCTGATTCTAATGTTTGAATATTGATTCATTAGTTACAACAGAATGAACCATAGAAAGGTAAGGCCTTAGCCACAGGGAAAACAGAGAGCATGGATCATAATGGAATTTTTAGCACTCTTTGTAGCTTTTCCATAAATCAAAATTTTAAAATATATACATATTAAAAATAAAGTGAAAAGACTATATTCTCTTAAAATATTCATTTTAATAGTGTCTTTTATTTTTTAAACAGAAGCAAACTGTATAAGGGGGAAAGTTAAATAACTTGATTGAGATCCTGCTAGTTGGGTTACATTGAAAAGCCATATATATATAGTATAAGACTATGGAATGTAGTTCATATGGACATAATATTTGTATTTGTGTATACTTCACATGCACATTTTGTGTGTGTATATATATATATATATATATATATATATATTGTACATCATGTATACATATATTATGCATATTCGTACATATATCACACTTTATACATGGTATGGGGGGCAGTGAACTAAAGCCATATGAAGTGGGAATATTTCATATATTGTAGCAACTTCATGGGTGTTCCTGAAAT